TTTTACTTTGGAGAAGAGGTTTTGCTTTTGTTTCCACAGGAAATGAGGGGCTGTGGATTCATTCTGGGTTAAAAAAAAATCAGGTTTGATCACGGAAGACTCCTGAAAAATCTTTGATAAGAATGGATGGTCTAGATAATCCAATGTTTCAGAGGACCTCTGATGGAGTTTCCTTTGAGTTCTATATTCAGAACAGCCTCAAGACTACTGGCTGAGATGATCAAGGCTCACAGAATATTCCAGTCAGGACTTGACTATAATCCTAAACTTTCTTTAGGCTCCCATAAGATTATCAGTGCCCCCAGTCATCAGGAAGTAGCCTAAAAAACCATGCCCACATTCCCCCAAAAATGTATTATAGATGTTTGCTTTTGTTTAGAATGTTGGTTACAAGTTATTGTGGATAATGGTCAGGAAAAAAGCTAAACAAAGGAGATTTGATTCAGAGTTCTTGTTTTGAAATAAAAAAGGGGAAAGTGTGGTGTGACAATGACCTTGTACCCTGTCTGTTGTACTGTTTTAATAAAATGCTGATTGGCCAGTAGCCAGGCAGCATGTACAGATGGGACAACCAGGCAGGAGGTAGAGGCAGGGCAATGAGAACAAGAGAATTCTGAGAAGAGGAAAGAGTCAGTTTGCAGTTGTCACCCAAATGCAGGAAACAAGTTGAGAATGCCTTGCTGATAAAAGGTACCAAGCCATGTAGCTGACACAGACAAGAATTATGGGTTAATGTAGGATGTAAGAGTTAAAAAAGAAGCCTGAGCTAATAGGCTAGACAGTTTATAATTAATGTAGACTTCTGTTTGTTTCTTTGGGACTGAATGATTGTAGGACCAGGCAGGACAGAAACCTCCAGCAACAATGAATGATGTAATATTGTCAGGAAATGCATGTATGTAAAATTGCCTATTTTATATATTTTGTAATAGTAACATTCAGTCAATTTTAGCCTTTAAATCAGTTAAAATTTTCCTCTTGGCTTTTCATTTTTGAGAGCAAATGTTCATGAGATCCTGAGTGTCAAACCTCTGACCCTTAGGTCAGAATGAGTGAGCAATTTCAATTAATATATGCAATAAATAGTGATATTAAAGTGAAATAACTTTAAAGAAATAAAACAAAGGTCTAGGAGGAACTGAAGGTTAATACAGCAAATGCACTATGTCCATTAAGATGTTTCCAGTGGTTTACTTCCCACATCTTGTGTCTAGCAGAGACGTCCTATGTGTGTCAGAGATGGCAAAAAGTCAAGAACCCTACTTTATATTCTAGTTGCTCATCAGTGCCATTCCTATGATTTCTATTCATTTATTCCCTTTTCTTAATAGTGAGTGTTAGGAAAACTCAAAAATGCACTCCGCTATCCTTGAAGTAGGCCCATGAATTGCTCAGTGACTGGGCTTGGGGTCAGGTTAAGACTCGGGCTCAGGCTCGGGCTCAGGCTAAGGCTGTGAACACATGCTTTACGGGAGCTGTGGAGGGAGATATTGTTGCTTTGATCCTTACAGGATTTACAGGATCCCAGAGGGCTCTTATTTCTGGGAGAGTATATGTACTTAGAAACAAAACAGCTATGTTCAGAGTGTGAAAACATCATGAAAGTCTCATTGGTATGTAAATACAGAGTGGGTCCAGGCTGCTGACTGTTCCAAAATATTAATTCCTTGGAATCTACCTCCTGAAATGGCTAGCTGGCACTCCTTAGGGTGACAGGGAATGCCACTGTCTAAATTGTTTTCCTGTATTTTGTTCCTGAAAAGAGAACTACGAATACTAAAAGACAGGCCTCTGGGTCAACATTTACACCAAAGGCTGCCATCTCTGGAAGGGGAGCACCCTCAGACAGGGTGGGCCAGGGGCAGAAGAGAGAGGACTGCCTTCATCACACTCGGAGTCACCAAGAGAAATGTAGGTGAGAAGAGCTTTCCACGATGCAAGCAGTAGAAGAGACAATGTAGGAGAGTTTAAGATTTCTCTTAAAGAACCAGAAGCTTTACCAACAGGCTTGGGAAAAATGATGGGAAATGTCAGGAATTAAGATCCTAGAATGCAATTCCTGCCATCCAAGATGGGCCTTTAAATCTCTGAGTGTTTGGCTGTATAATGTGATGAGCTGGCTAGGTTATGAGCACTCACACTAATTTGTATAGCTACCTACCCCCATTTCATAGCAAAGGATTATTAATATATGAACTAAGAGAGAGGGGGGAGAGAAAGAGCAAGGGAGAGGAGCAGATCTCCTCTAAGAGAACTGATGAGTACTTTTTGAAGCTGACATTTATGAAATAGAGATAAGGTCGAAAAAGTCTCAAATTATTGCTTAGGACTTGGTAGATCTGAAATGCAGATTAGCCTTTTTAGAAGATGATTTATTTCTGGCATTCATTTATTTATGTTTATAATGACTCCAGCCTAATACAGAGCTCATAATTCTAGGCCCAGGTCTTAGGGACATCTATGCAGATTACTGAGGAAATGTGCTGGATTTAATGTTTTATTGTCCCACTCTGAGGCTGTACAGGCAAGTTCAGTGTCACTTATGAGAACCACCATGCAATAAATAGAGAAACAACGTGAACCATGGCTGCAGCAGCAGTCTTTAAAAACTGTAACCAAATCATCAGAATTTAAAATTTGGAATTTAGAATTCTATTTAAAATTCAGGAGACTTTTCTTAAGATTTAAAGTAGCCTGATGGAATAGTTGTCCTCAGAAAGAGGGAAGAGACAAGGAAATAAGGCTGTCTTTTTTTTTTTTGAATACAAGTTTTCTCGGCAGAAAAAAAAATTATGTTTATTAACTAACTCTATTTAAATAAAGAAAAGAAGATCAATATTTCCATGCATATCCCTTTGACAAATGTTTTGTTAGGTTAGTGACCCTAATTCCCTTGATGCTACATGCAAAGCAATTTTTATTTTAGGAGAAAGAGCTATTTATTTTTATTGTAGAATTTAATTATCCTTTCCCAAACAACAATTTCTCAAATTGATAGCATCTTATCCTTGTTAAGTAATGACTTCATGCTGGGAAGCATATAGACAAAAATAATCACTAAATATTTTTCTTTTTAATATATTTTGGTTAAATCTTTGAGAATTTCATCCATGTGTACATGATCATAATTGCTCCAACTTCTCCTGGAAACTACTCCCAGATCTACCCTCACCTTCCCACCAACTCCCAGACCCACCCTCACCTCTTCACCTACTCCCAGATCTACCCTCACCTCCCCACCTACTCCCAGATCCACCCTCACCTCTTCACCTACTCCCAGATCTACCCTTACCTCCCCACCTACTCCCAGATCTACCCCACCTCCCCACTTACTCCCAGATCCACCCCACCTCCCCACCTACTCCCAGATCCACCCTCACCTTCCCACCTACTCCCAGATCCACCCTTACCTCCCCACCAACTCCCAGATCTACTCCACCTCCCCACTTACTCCCAGATCCACCCTCACCTCCCACCTACTCCCAGATCTACTCCACCTCCCCACTTACTCCCAGATCCACCCTCACCTCCCCACCTACTCCCAGAGCCACCACTCCCTCTTAACACACTCAGAGCCACCCCACCTCCCTATCTATTCCCAGGTCCACCACTACCTCCCCATCCACTCCCAGCCTCACCTCCAGCTCCCCATCAACTTCCAGATCCACATCTTCCTCTCTTCCTATTTCTAACTTGTTGTCCTCATTTTTGTTTTTAATCACCCACCGAGTCCCATTTGTGCTGCTTGTGGGAAGAGACCATCTACTGGAGCACGATTGGCCTATTCTGCTACCCCATAGAATCTTGTAATTGTCAATAGCTCCTCAGAAAGAAATGGGGTCCCGTACACCCCTCTCTCCAGGCTGGAATGCTGTCTGACTTGTGTTGTGCAGGTCTTTGTGAACTCATGAGAGCAGTGGTCCTCTCAGAGCCAGAAGACACTGTTCTGCTCCAGTCCTCACAGGCCTCTGCCTTTTAAGATCTTTTGCCTCTCTGTTCCTCAGTGGTCCCTGAGCATCGGTGGGTGACGACATATATGTCACCCTTTGTGCCTGAACACTCCACGGAAGCCTAAGATTCACTAAATGTCAAGAACATTACATATTCAAGTTAAACCCTCTTAAGTTATTTTTTGTACCCCTTCGACATAGTCGTTTGCTTTTGTGTTTGATATATTGAAAATTCCACACTGTCCCAAGTTTCTGAGAGTTAGTCAAGTTAATTTTTATCAAGAACTCTTTGGATAACTGTGTGAGGAAGTAAAATTTGGGCGGGAAAATCTCAACCATCTCTGAAAGAAAGCACAGTGCTTAAGGGTTAAGAAATGATTATCAATTGTAGCCACTTGGAAACAATCAAGCGATAAGTGGTTTTCACTCTGCTTACTGGAAAGACTGACCACTACAAATAACTCTTTTTTCTTTCTATTCTTCTTTTAACCCTGAAGGAAAACTGGAAAATGATGGCCAGGGCATGATTTGGGACAGATAGGACAGGTGCCGGCAGAACCAGGAATCATTTGGGTTTCTGCAGAGAAAGTACATCACAGCTGACTTTTTTGTGCCCAATCTTAATGATTTTAGACTCTACATTGGCAACTGATACTTCAGAAAATATGCTTCTGTGTTACTTCAGATGAGTTAAATGAGTTGCCAAAGGCTTAATGATTAAGATTTTAACTACGGCATAGGGTAGAGCGACATCAAGGCCAAGAGATACTCATCTGAACTGTAAACCCTACCATTCTCTTGAACTGTCCGTCTCCACGCATTTCTATCTATCTGTTGATTGAACAAAGTGCTTAGGCTCTGTCTCCATTCTCTATCAGTCACTGAGGCACATTTCCTTCCTGTTGTCTATTTTCCTCTTGTTTGGTCTCTCTTCAATACATGCCTTTGAGTCTCCCAATAGGGATGCATTTTTCAAGTGTATAGGTCTGCTTTGCAATGATAGTTTTTCAAGGACTCGTAGAGGAATCCAGAAGTATGCAGACAACTCACCATAAATGAGATCCAGGTCTCCAACAGCAAAAACAGCCAGAGTGCGTCTGGGAGGATCATCTATTCGGCACCTTTTCAGCCAGGACTGGAGACAGAGAAGCACTACTCCACAGAGGAGAACCACCAAGAGTATCATCATTAGGAACCTGGCACCAAAACAGACAGAGACAGGTGGAACATGTAGGAATGTGCATTTCTGTAAGTGCTTGGGGAACATACAGGGACTCAGCTATGCGCAAGTGCAAGCAAACTGGAATGCCAAACTACAGGAGCTATAGCCTATCTTTCTACATCACCAATAGATCTGGAGGTCTTCAGAAAAAGCATTGGTGACAAGCATTTTTTTTCTTTGAAAACTAAGGGCTAACCTAAAAAGTGAAGTCACTTTTTCCTTTCCCCTTTCCTTCTTTTTCCCTCTTTTCCTTCTTCTTATTCACCATTTAAATATTTGAAGTATTGGGGTTAAGGATTAAAGATAGACAAGACAGTGTCTCTGCCTTAGAGGAATTGAAAATTTTATTAACAGAATTGGTTGATGTTAAGTTTGGAAGATAGGAAAGTTGTGATTTAGGGAATGAGAACTGCTTTAAATTTTCTGGAGGAATATCTCCTTAAAGACTCATTTGAGTATGTTGAATGGGTATTTACAACCAGACGTGGAAGAATAACTTAGAAAGATTTCAAGAAGAAGCAATTACTTTATCAGTAACAAACTCTATTTATAGAATAAATTTAGAGTCTTGAAAACAATAGATTCTTTATCATAGGAGGCATTTAGCGAATATTGTCCTGATATTGATATGACAAAACTGTTGATTCACACTCCCCTAAATTTCCCTTCAGCTGGTAATTGCACATGCTGTTTCAAATTATCTAGGAAAGCAAGTGTACATGGACATCTACATGTTTTTTATTAAACAATCTGAAGAAATCCTTACCAGATATACCAGCCATCAGAATGCTGGTCATCATAATTTGCACACCTAGTAATAAAGAAAAAGCAGTAAGTGTCTGATTCTAGAAAACTAGAGATGATTCTTTGGTCCTTTAAACTAAACACATCGATTTTCCCATAATACTCACCTGCTCACTCTTCTACAGATCTGTTCCCAATATACTAAAAGAATGGAGGTGGGTGGCCCTTGGACTTCCCACAGGGCAGGGAACCCTGACTGCTTTTTGGGCTGACGAGGGAGGGGGACTTGATTGGGGGAGGGGGAGGGAAAGGGGAGGCGGCGGTGGGGAAGAGACAGAAATCTTTAATAAATAAATAAATAAATAAATAAATAAATAAATAAAAAGAATATCTACCCTATGTCCACTTCATTCAAGCCACTGAGAAGGCAGGTTAATTTGGAACCACTAGATATGCAAAGACAATGCTACATTGCTATAGTTTTGATTCTAAGGCATGGAGAAATTAGTGAGGAGCATTATAAGGTCAAAATGTCAGAGGCATTAGGCAGATAGTCATTCCATCATTCTTCTTCTTATTTTTTTTTACAGATATTCAGAGTAGAGCCCTTCATAATTCAACTTCTCCAAAGAGGGTTTATAATCTGTGTTATAAACTTCCTCAATATGCATGTGTCATTCAATTCCTAGTGCCCAACTACACTGGGAAATATGGTACACTGAACACAGAGGGACTTCTTTCACATCTCAATACACTGATATTGTCATGGTGTCTTCAGAATGCAGAGTGGAAATGCTGGAACCCAGGGCCTTGGCCAGCATCTGAGACGGTCTCATTTTTGTTATCTTCAGGCAACATTAAAGTGACTCTGAGAACTTTACAGCTTGAAAATACTTATCGTCTTAGCCTCTGGGAGGTGGTGCACCAGATGTTCCATTTGCTGGTCAGAAGTCACGTATGACACATCTGACGTGACATCATGGTACTTAGAAGACAACAATATTTCATTAAGGCAGAATTTGACTTAATTTTTGTTTTTTGAACTTTGGATTTTGGGATTTGTCTTGGATACCTGCAGTGGCTAGAAAAGTTCATAATCACAAGTGGCTAAGAGGGAAATGGACATTCAAATGTAACTTTAAAAAGGATCCTAAGAGATCAGGCGATGATGGTACATGCCTTTAATCAGAGTACACAGTTGGAAGGCGGAGGCAGGTGGATCTCTGTGAGTTTGAGGTCAGCCTGGTCTAAAGAGCAAGTTCCAGTACAGTCAAAGTGACACTGAGAAACTCTGTCTCTAAAAAAAAAAAAAACAAGAAAAATAAAAAGAGGACCCTAAGAATCTGGTGGTGGTACATACTTTTAATCCCAGCATCAGGGAGGCATGGCCAGGCAAATCTTTGTGAGTCGTGAGTTTGAGGCCAGTCTGGTCTACAGAGTGCATTCCAGGACAGCCTGTTTTTAAAAACCATAAGCTAGCAAGTGGCACATCATAGCAAGGGGCCATGATGTCATCATTAGCAGATGTGTGGATTGATCTCAGGTGCTAGTGCTTGTGCTGTGAATACATCACCGTGAGCCCAGACAGTAACTGTAAACATTAATGTCAGACCATCCATGGAAAGCAGGAGCCATTCCACCAATAAGGGGCCTGCTGCTCAAATTATCATATATAAATTATATTCTTTGAGATTGTGTAATATTTTTATAATTTATCTATCTTTTGTAGATATTCTATAAAATTCTAATGTACTAATTGCAAAAATTTAAAAACAGTATGATACTTAAGCTATGCTGTCCTAACCCCAAAACAAAACAGTAACTTTTGTTTTAGAGATCTCCGAACTCCTGGCTAGGAATATGGAGTATTTTATCTTTCTTTATATAGAAATCTCCATCTCTATACTTTTCCATTTAAGATCGTCCACGTGACTTAACGTCAATTATAAATACAGAGTACCTCCTTGTTAAGTGCAACTTTTGGGCCATTTAACAGGTATGGATTTCAGTGTCAACAGGGACCCAACTTTATTTCGTTTTCTCCTTCTGTGCCTTTGCACCCCCTGGTGGAGGTTCTGATAAACAAGTGGTCAGGAAACCTCACTGTAGAAATGAAGTCATGGAATATTTTCACAATGTCCAGCATTGAGGGAACATTTATTTCGTTCTTCTCATTTTATACATGCATACATGATATCCAGAATGAGGACAGACATCAATTCCTGGACTTGGAGAATTCAGGAAGACGCCTACGGAGCTATTCAGAAGCAAGTCTCAGCTAGAGGATTCGGGGACATTCTTCCTTCTTGGATTCCAGCCCTTTCCCAAATTGTGTTTTTCAAAAGCTTCTTTTGAGCTGTTACATGAACTTGAACAGTATTATAATTGCTTAGATTTTAAATATAATATTTTCAAAGTAGGAACAATTTACATCCCTGAAAATAAAGTTATCCTTGAAGAATAGTCATCCTAGGATACTGATGTTTGATGGAAACCAACCACCAATCCACTAGCAAAGAAAGAGACTGTGGAGTGCGAAGATCTAAATAAATGCACTGGTGTTCGAATGGCTAAGGGGTCATCATAGAATGGGGAGACAGAAAGAGTCTAAGAGCCAAAGGCAGTGAATGTCGGCAATGGTGCAGTATTTGATGGATGTGAAAATTAGACACATGAGCTCACAATGGCTCAGGATGCATGTACAAAACCCGCAAAATATTAAGCCAAATTTCCAGCATGAATGGGTATGGGCTCATGAAGTACCACCCCCACGTTAGGAGTTATTGACAGTTGTTAGCTACTGAGGGGGGGGGTCACCTTTCTTCAGGCTTGCAGGCGCTGAGAGGCTGCTCCTTCTCCAGGAAATAAAGTCTCACAGCCATGCACAAATTGGCGGCATTAAATGGACTGAGTGGATGTGAAAAACCCAGAGAGTGAACGAGAAAGGAGGGAGAAATGCAAGAAGTTGGGAGGGAAAGGTAGAGGAATTGGAAGTGTAGATTGTATTCAAACACGTTATATACATGCATGTATATTTTCTTATTTTTTTATGACAGGGTTTCTCTGTGCAACAATCCCGGCTGTTCTAGACCGTGCTTTGCGGATCAGGCTGGCCTACATCGAACTCACAGAGACCACCTTACCTCTACCTCCCAAATCCTGGGATTAAGGGCTTGTGCCACCACATCTGGCTGAATATTAAATAAGACATTTAACTAAAAGTTTTCAAGAAAAAAATATGTGGGGAAAAAGTATGAGTTACTGACAGATTTAAGGAAACACTTGCAGGGACTAGAATTCCCCCACAAATAGATGTCAAAGGAAATGCTATGTGAGGCAGAGCACGAAGGCTCATCTTTATTTGGATGTTGTGGAGCTGTTCCTGCTTACACAGACGGCTAGACTGGTCCTTACTGTTCTTCTTTGAGGATCTAGGGACTGGGGTTGCAAATTCATTAATGGGGTAATTTCAAGAAGCTCAGACAGTCGCTGCCTTGCTCCTCAACGCTTTAAAGGAATGCCGGAAATGAATCGAGCAGCAAGTTCAGGGAGAGTACCTGAAAAGAAAATAGGCCAGGAGTGCCACCGGTCAGCTGACCGAAGCAGCAAATCTCATATAAAACAGCGGGGCTGACCTCTGACTCTGGTCTAAGCTTCCCTACAGTTAGGGGGAGGAAAAAAGAAAGTCATGGAGAGGAACACAGTGAAGAGCTGCTCATCGGTTGTACAGCTACTCCTTCTAGAAGCCAGGAGAAAATTCTGCTAGTAAGAGGAACCGTGTCTTCATAATATTCTTTGCATAAGTGAAATAGCAAATTGCATGGCTTCCTTTTTCTTTTGAAAACTAATTTCTCACCACAAGCCAATGTACAGGTCAACTATAATAATTTGAAGTGGGTGAGGTATAAATTGTACCATCTAGAACTTGACTGTAAGTTGCACCATCTCTATAACAACCCCCGACTGCTTATCCTTCAGGTATTTCACCAAGCTTGTGAGAAATCAAATTAAAGGTTGGTTATAAATATGTCTTTGCAGTCAAAATACTGGGCACTGAATTCTCAGTTCTGGATAAAAATTTTGACCCTTATTTTCTCCCCTACTTTATTTAGCTATATCTTTACTTTCTGTGACAGGGTCTCACCACATACCCCAGATCTTGTACAGATTTTGTAGCCCAAGCTACTCCTGACTTGAGATGCCTCATCCTCCACTCAGAGTTCTGGGATTATAGGCATGTACCAACATGCCTTGACCTTTTCCTACTATTAAATAAAATGTTTAATCCACTGAACCAGGAAAATTGCTGGCACCTCATTAGGAAATTTATGTAATTAATTTATAAAGTCATTTTTATACATGCATGTATATATAACATATTCGTATTTTGTAAATCACTATGTACTCTTTGACAGTGTAATCGGTTATTTATAGGGAAAGGAATAGATTAAAAGCATAACTAATTAAAATGAAAGGGGTCTGCATCATGTTTTATTATATACAATCAATTAGAATATTTAGATTTTATATTAATCAGAACAATGTATGATTCATACTAAAATTTCAGCTACAACTATAAAACGAGCAACTCCTATCACAAAATGTCCAGTATTTAAAAACAAATTTAAGTGGAACTCATAGTCAAATGCTTTATAATGCTCTCAAACGGCTTTGGAGAATCTAGGAAGTAAAAATTGAGACACTACAAAATGATGTCTTGCTAATCCGAATCCTTTTTTTCTCAGCTTCCACCGGAGGAAGCTTCCCCATCTCCAGCATTGCCCCTCCTTAGTTTCTTGTCCTTCTGTGTGTCTGTTTGCAGATGAACTCGGGGCCAGCTTTTCTTGCTTATTTTTTTTTTTTCATTTTAAAGCACATCAAGAGCTAACCAAGCCTATCGAGCTCTCCTGTAATCTAGTGAGCTCGTGTTATTCTTTACTCAAAGCAACTGGCATTGGAAGATTCTATTCTTTTAGTCAGGTTATGTATTTAAAACAATGGTCCCAGATCATAGAAATGGCTCTAAATTAAAAGCCTCTCCAATAAACGCAGGTGGAAAAAGAAAATCTTGTTTGGATGTGGAACTTTTGCTCGTTCCTAAAATAGCCTGTCTTTTTTTTTTTTTTTTTTATAGACTTATCCGACTAACACAGCCTTGTGCAAGGTATTGTATCTCTCGTCAATGGACTTATTTCTTTTATATTATTTCCCTGGAATACCAGCCACTTTCTTATCTTTTCTACCTTTCTTTCCTGCTATTTTTAATGTTATTTGAAGACGTTCCTGATTTTTACTCAACAGAAAATAAACGAGGGTAAAATTATAACAGACACTGAGATGTAAAACTGCTTACCAAAGAAAGCTCATAGTTAAGCATCAGCTAAAACTGTGCTGTAGAACGATTATCTCCCTCTTCTCCATTTATTCCACATACGAGGACAAGCTCAGAAGCAATAAGGAAGCTTTTCGACTTCCCAGTACCATCCCCCCTTGTCCTATTGATTGGATAGTAGAGTCGACATTTAAGGCTCTTCTCAATCCTAGGAGTCTATTACTCTGGGTCCAAGACAGAAAACAAGAAGGCAAGGTGTGGGCAGCCTTGAAATTCAGAGTCAAGCAAACACCATAAACAACTGGTCAGTCACAAGCAGCAGAAGACAGAGCACAGTAGTAGGTCCAAAAATTAATGTAAAGAAACAGCCATGGAAGGGTATGCAGATGCAGAAAGAGCAACACACACAGCCTAGCAACAGGATGATCTGAAAGAGTGAACGATTCCAGGCCTAAGGACAACTCCCGCTTGACCCCGTCTCTTGCTTTAGAGGCAGTGCCCACAGACAGGGCTTTGAGAGGATGAGGCAATGATAATTGAAAACAGCTGGCTGGCAGAGTGCTGCACCCAGAACACAGCACTTGGCACAAGTGCTTCCTTGACACTTGCACTCAGTCACCCTGCATTAGAGTTCCCATTCGTCATCATCAGCATTATTAATGGCACCTTCTCATCTCCTGAACAGAATTCTGAAAACCATTAAGCCACGCAAAGTAGGGAAATGAATCAATTATTCACTTAATTTGCATCCGATGCCCTTTGAGATGCACACACAACACAGGATAAGATGTGGGTTCACTGGTTGTATATGAAAATGAATTGTTCAGAAACTGTTCCTTGAAACTGCCATAGTTATGAGTGTAGGGGCAAGGGAGGAGGATGTCACAATTCTTTTGTAGCCTAACAACCATGGAAACCTAATGGGAATAGAACGCAAGAGCCTAAACACTTGAAGATAGCTCTGTTATTTATTAAACAAAGTGATTATAATGGCAGCAACATTCCTTTTTTTTTTTTTTTTTTTTAGAAATCATCATTTTTTTACATGAGTACCCTTTGAGGCTTTTCAAATGAACAGAGTCCTACTCTTTGAATTTTTCAAATGCTAAATAAAAACATGGAATATCTTGTTATTTACTTACATTTCATTTTCTTCACATGATAGATCTGAGAGCACCAGCTGAAACACATATTTAGAACAATAAAATCCAAACAGTTCATCGGTCTAATCCTTTAATGAAAATAGTGCCTCACAGTGTGATTTTTACATCATTCTTTTTTTTTTTTAATTAAAAGCTTTGCAGCATAGTTGAATGTTGGTACACAGAGGATTTTAACTGGGAAAAAAATTCTCCGGGTAGATTCTCAAACTCAGTAAGAGCAGATCCACTGAAATTTCCCTGCATACCCAAAAGAAATGGATCTGAAAAGTATTTGTTTTCTCTGTAGATTTTGTTTGATCTAGAGAGCCATTGGGACCCTTGAATCTCTTTGTTTTTATATTTTAGTGAGTGGTGTGAGGGTCACGATTTATCTGAGTATAATTTTCATGCAAAGCAAAGATTTTCTCAGTCATGGGAAACAGAAGTCAATCCTGTTGGCTTTGATGGGAATTAAATATACAGACGAAAGGGGTGGCTTTAATCACTGAGGTCAATGTATGGTTACATGATACTCCTGTTTGAGAAAAACACACATAATGAAATTTTCTCTTTATCAAAGAGGAAGATATTTATTTATCAAAAAAAATATCCTTTGAGAGGTCCAAACCCTAAACGATCTAACAAAAGTTATCTTAGTTCTCAGTGTTGAGCCTCAGTGTTGAGGCTACAACATTTCACACCCACGATCACAAGAAAGATGTTTCTGGAGACTGTTTGTGTGTTACTCTGACTCTTTATATTGAGACTCCTTTGTCCAATGAGAAGACATTCACACCTCATGCACAAACAGCAGTGAGAGTTAATGGGGTCCGTTACGCCCAGACTACTATATATAAATGTAAGTACAAGTGAGATGACGCAATATTTCAAGCAATAGTCTTTTAGATTTTGTATGGGATTTATGTTTCCCGCTTGATCCCAAATGTGCCTTTTTCAGCACCTAGTATTTCTCCCAGATGGCGCAATGGATTGACCATCAGAGAACATGATAATGAACAATTTATAAGCACAGAAGATGAGTTGCATTCTCTTTTGCTGGAAAGCTGCAAAGAGATTTGCATACTAACCGAGGGGAAAATGAACATTCAAATTCTCTCTATAAAGAAGCTTTGTTTATGAGTAGATGCAACCATTTGAGATCCAGCTTAACAGATAAAACAATTGAAGCTAGTATTTCCCTTTCAAGTCAGTTCCTACTCTCCTCATTCTGCTGAACCCTTACTGGAGTGTGTTGGATCTCATTATTACTGCTGAACGGCCAGTGCATTAGTTGCCAAGTTGTTATGAAATAGTGAAAGGAGGAATTTATATGCCGTAGACCTGATCTTTCAGATGCATTTCATTCAAGTAACAGAGATACAAGGATGCCATTATTGGTTGGAAAGAGATGCTGGCACAGAGTAACCACAAAAAAAAAAAAAAAAAAAAAAAAAAAAAAAAAAAAAAAAAAAAAAAAAAAAAAAAAAAAAAAAAAAAAAAAAAAAAAAAAAAAAAAAAAANAAAAAAAAAAAAAAAAAAAAAAAAAAAAAAAAAAAAAAAAAAAAAAAAAAAAAAAAAAAAAACCCTAAAATGGTTCTGTCTGTAGCAGCCAGCACTGAAAACCTGTGAAGAATGCAGTGAGTTGAAGAAATTGATAAACATTTTCTAAATTAATATAGCTATAGCATCTCTGTGTCAACAGCGCTTCTGAGTTTAAAAACATCCCAAATCATAAAGTGAAGCAAAGTGTACATCACATCCCTTATTTCTTGTACCATTGCAGCTAAGTAACAAAGAAGTGAGACTGAGGTCATGAATGTTTTGGTTTTCAGTCTTGGAGCAATAAAAAATATAAAGCATGGGGTGCTAGTCATACCTGGAAGAAAATCCTTTACTTGCAGTAGTTACACAGAGGAAAAATACACAGCAAATCAAACCCTTAGAGAACCTCAGAGAGCTCCCAGAAGTATTGATGGTTACCTGGAACAGTAGCAAGCACAGGCTTCCTATTGTTGGAATTTTGGAAGTGACATGCAAAGGACTGGATCTTGACATACTAAAAAGAATGATCTTCCCAGACAGCGTGGCTTGTTCACTCTGATTTACTCTTCTCAAAATGTGTTAGCAGCTCTATGCTATGTGTCCTCCCGCAGTATGCATTAATGATGAACTATGTGACCAAGAAAGGGCATCCGGGGAAAGAATGTTCGGTGCATGCTCGCAGGGACTAAGAGCTCAAGGAGTTTAAGGTCAGAACCCTGGTGCTGTTTGTCAAGGCTATTAAATGCTGACCTGCAAAGCCAGCTGACTGTTTGAATAACTTTCAAAATTCAATGTTTTATTCCAGGAGACATTATGAGGTCTTTCTCTTTTCTTTCCTTCCTCTCTCCCTCCCACTCTTCTTTCTTTCTTTCCTCCTCCGCTTTCTTTTAAACAGAATCTCACACCTGGAAATAGTTACTCAATTTTCTGTGCTTTGCAGATCTCATCTTTGCTCTTCTGTTTCTATGTATCATTTTGAGTAGGGATTGACCTCAGCCTTGAATCTACAATGATCAAATTAGCAGGTTTAAAATTTGGAAATACAGTGAGAAGTGGTAGTTATGAAGAAGCATCCTTTTATATATAATTAATACTAGAAAGTAATTATTGAGCATTATCTATTAAATTAAAAGGCACCAAATTAAAAGGGCAAGGTTTACCTTTGTGGAATGTATCCTATACCTTTCAATTGTTTAAACCGATATGCGGTTGGTAGTAATTTGCCATGCTGCTCACTAAAACACCCAATCTCCATCAGCATGATCAAATACAAAATGGCTACATCCATGCAACAAAGTAGTCAGAGGTTAAGATGGTTACTTTCAGGAATTTCTTTTTAAATCTGGGGGCAGAATACAGGGGATAATGTAACTTGAAGTGCTATCTTTAAGTAAAAGGAACGAGTGCTGGTACTTTGCCTGTATCGTGTGACATTTTTTTATACAAATGGAAGGTGTAGATGGAGTGTTTTTCTTCGTAAAATCTGTAAAATGCTTTTCAGTGCAGAGAATGTGGGATACATTGTTAAAAGTGGTTGTAAGAGGGAAAGGGAAACAAGGAAAAGAGGTGTGGAGGGAGAAACTTTTTTTCACTATTAGTTTCTTGTCTGTTTGCTCTGTGTAGGTTTTGTAGCGTCCATACGCCATTCAAATGTTTTGTGCATTCATACTCGAAGGACCAAATCTGAAGTCAGGTATCCAGAATTCAGAAGCACTTTGCTGCCTAACTCCCACTCTACTTTTAACAAATTCAATTCAAATTACTATATGGAAACCCATTTATTGTCACATATGTAGATTACATTGCAAACAAATGGACCATATTTGTTAACTAAACTCCACCTCTGAACTGGGCGTTAAGACCTCTGGAATATTTGACTGCATCTGGACAGGCAAAGCAGGCTCAGGGGTGGCCGTGGTCTGTTTAGTATGCAGACACAGGCACAGCCATGAATTTCAAAGCAGAGGAAGGGCTCGGTGCCAATGCCAACAGGAGGAAAGTAAAGCAAGCCTACAGTATTATTTGTGCCTAAGACAGCCTCCATTTTGAGTGTCTTTGAAGCCTGTAATTAAACAGAATGAAAAATAGGCTTTTCACTGGTGAACTTATTTATTAGTCGGTCAGAAGCCCGACTTCCGTCAGTGAAGTCAATGATCTTAAGAATTTCTGGGAAGGAAGGGAAGGCCAGATGATGAGAAAAGAGAGGGAATGGAAACAAGGTTAGCCTGAGAAACCGGCACGGTGACCAACCAGATACGAGGATTAAATAATTCTTGTCTAATAACATATGACTGAGCAGCAGGTGGCCAGCTAAAGGCACAGCCACTGAATGGAGATGCAGTCTCAGGCACAGCGATGCTGCGAGCATCACTGCTCCATCTCTGTGGACAGAAAAATTATGCTCATTACTCCTTTTGTCTCCTGGCTCATCATCCATCTCCTTCTGGGACTTCTCTATGCTACTCTTAAAGGGTGCATGGTTCAGGGGACCTAAGATGGTACTCTCCCTATGTATTTCCTCTCTAGGATCAACACGCTTGGGTGGCCTTGTGGGAAAAATGGTGATGAATAACGTTTGACCTGAATTCTTGTTTGGCTATTTATTGGAAGGTAATTGGAGGGCCACATGCTGCTTTAAGAGCTAGTATAGAGCTTGTATCTCCTCTCCACCCAGTTTTTCCTACTGGCAGCATCTTCCATAACAGTGATATGGAATCACAATTAGGAAATGCACAGAGGCAGAACAGCCACACACAGGATTTTTACTATTTATGCTGTATCATTTAAAACATCTCTTTAACTGAGCTTATGAGCATGGACATGTGTCAGCGAATTCTAATGACAGGAAACTCTAGTTGAACATGGCCAATTGATTTTGCTGCTAATGAGGTCACTTAGGTTCATACACACTTACATTTGAATATAAGGATCTGAGGAAGCAAAACATCCCAGAAGGATTAGAGAGAAGAAGGACACATAACTGCTATTGTGATAACAGACAAAACTGTGCACTTTGGATTTTCAAAGTACTTGCATGGTGAACCTTAGATCTTTAGGTGTGTAACAAGAGCCTGGCCACATACACATTTGTCTGTTCGATTTCATTTCCCCAGGTCTTCTCTTTGCTAGAGAGAATGAAACACTACCAAAACGGATGGTGACTATAGACTATGAAAACTACTGTTGGATTCTGCGCCTAGCAAAAGCCCCAATTCCCCGAAGCTCAGAAGTCATATTGATGTTTGTCCTTAAAGGTCATAGAATCCAGCTGTTCAAAAGGAACTAAGGACCAAATCCAAAGGATTAGGTGAGAATCAATAAAAGGTATGAGTGTGTGTGGCATGCATAAAGGAAGGTGCAAACAACCAGAAAGGGGCATCAGCTGTTGACTCTCTTCATGGAAAGTGAGTGAGCAGAGTGAGGCTCTAGGGGCCTAGAGACCATCCATGACTGAAGACAGCACTAATCATTGGTGCAACAGTGATTCAGTTGTATATCTCTTAAGGAGATGTTTTATGAATTTGGGAGTCAGTCTTACATGTCCTCTGCAACCTTCTCTGTGCCATTTCCACTTTAGTACACCTGCTGCTTAAGCAGGTGTTGAGTTATTAATCTTTGGTTTTTGGTTCCTTACTTTCTTTCAATCTCCCCGGTATTCTCCTGCTTCGTAAACAGATTGGATTCTTGCTTTTCTTGTTTTTGGGAATGTAGCCCCTCATGCCTCAAGGTGACTCTCTCCCTGGCCTCTTTTGCTGTGGCATTGCATTATTGGCTAGTATTTCCTGCTCACTCCATGTGACACCACAATATTGTCCCAGCCCATACCATTGATTCATTTAGTGAGCCAGAGAATTTTTGAAAATGCCAAATCATAATCAAATGAATGACAACTCTTGGTTGTTTTTCGGCATCTTCTGGAGTGGAAACTTGACAAATAAAGAGGTGTTTTCTTGTTTCACTCTCTGTATATCTGAAGTACCTAGAACAATGCCCTTCCCATAGCAGACACTCAGAAACATTTGGTGACGACGACATTAACTACTTGATTGATTGTCAGCGTACTGTCCTAGAAATTGGGAGAAAGGAGGAAGACGCCCTCCTACTGTGATGTCACGTTCCAGCAGATGTGAAAGGGCATGAATGAGCTTCAATTTTAGATCGCTTTTGCTGAAGCTTTCTTAAGCTAATTCTAGGTAAATATGAGAAAGTGTCAAGCAGATCAAGCTGAAGTGCAATGGGAAGGTCTGGCCACTATAAAGAAAAACCATGTAGATGAGCCAAATAGCAGCTTGGGAACACAGTGTGTCTATTGCTTTCTGTGTGGAAAAACTTGACATTGGTTTGCTCTACACTCATTACTAGATTGTACCAGCTACTAAGAGACCATGTCTGAAATGAACCATTAAATGTAGTCCTCTACAGATTTAACACAAATTATATCGCTTTGAAAAGTGCTTTGACATAACTTGGAGTTAAACATTTGCTTTAAGTGCAGATGCTTATGGTAATAATTGACAAGCCATGCTTAGTCTGGATGTGTGTAAGGGGGGAAGTTGCTCTATTAACTCAGGCCATCACTGAATTCCTGAAAAATAATGTATTCTGGCTATGTTTTCAAAGTCATTGGATAAACATTGCTGTTACTAAGTAGCTGAGCTTATTGATGCCATCCATATTATACAACCCATAATAAACTGCAACTTGCAGTTCCTTGCACAGATTTCAACAGACTTTCCTTTCTGACCAAATATTTGAAGTATAGGATTCTAAATTCCAAAATTGGTTTTATACAAAAACCTTTGTGCAAACACGAGGGATTCTGCTCTTGATTGTCCACCCCTTGTCATGTTGCTTTCCTCTCTAGTTCCTAATGGGATGCTGGTGTTCCTTTTCCCTCATAAACTTTAGAGTTAGTGATGCTTTAGAGTCAGGGATGCTTTAGAGTCAGAGCTCTTTTGTTATTTCAAAATAAGAAGAGATAATGGATGAGTTTAGTGTTTAACCATGTTATTGTTTATATGATAGCTAATGATGGGTACCATTCACATCTGTTAGGAAACTGGCTATCCTTGCACTGTGGACAAGACACAACTCCAGAAAACTTATTTTGTTTCTATGCCCCAGTTGACCTAAATGGCCATGCTTTTCCTATTGGAGCAGGGAATATTAGCTATGCTCGCTGTGTCCTGAGTCTCTGTCACTGGTCTGTGGCACCTTTTCATGCTGATTCACATGGGCTTTTTATAACTGACTAGCATGGAGCCATTCCTTTTCCAGGTAGGGTAAATGCCATTATGGAACTTAGACCATCTGCCAACATTCCTGAGGTGACAAGAGTCAATTTAGAATGTGCAGCAAAAATAACTGTCTGCCTGCAGTGTGTATAAAAAAACGTTCTTTCCTTATCTTCAACTTATTGCCTCTCACGTGTGGGATATAGACAGTACCATCATTTGCTTCTTCAAGGATATGTGGGATATTCTATCAAGATTTGTAGACCTCTTTGGTTTACA